AAGGACAAAAAAGAAAAGATTGACTCTGTTCTGAAAGCCCGTGAGTTTTTAAGGGTCCAGCTGGGAAGGCCTGCGGAAGAAAGAAAAGAAGAGGAAAGCAAGTCCAGTGGTGAGCTGGAGTCACCTCTTCTGGAGAGGACTCTCTTTCTGAGCAAGGGGCAGCAGCCCCAAAAAGTCCTTATAAGCTGAGAAAGAGACAAGGAAGAGGGAAATGGAGGCGGAAGGACTCTGAATTATGCCTTTAAGAACCTTATAGCGGGATGATTGGGGGGTACTTGGCTATTGCAGTTAAAAATTAAGATTAATAGAAAAGAGTAATATAAAGGACAGACTCGGTTTGTAAAGAGATAAACGAAGTGAAGACTTGAAGAAGATAGCGGAATGAAGATCTCCTCTCTTGGGTTTTTAGATAGTAGTGGGTTCTTTTCTTTGTCTTGTATATGTAGTTCCCCCCTCCCCATTTCTGTTGTAGCTGTGTAGTCTTATAAAAATAATTAAAAATCCCCTCCGGGGGCTTAAAAAAACCAAAAAAAACCCCAAACCCACTATACCACGCTGGCTGTTTTTCCTTCTTTCGCTAGCTGTTGTTTTAATTTGATATCGGGTGTCCCCCCCCCATTCTCCACACCTGCTTTAACGATCCCCCCCCCTTCCAAAGCAAGCTTACACTTACATTGGCTTTATTCTCAGTGTGATCTTTGTGCCCCCACCAGGTTGTCTGTCCGAAAAAAAAAGGTATGCTTGCTCCACGAGAGAAAACAAGCGTAGAAGAAAGTCAGAGAAAGCTTCCGTGACCCTCTCTCAGCTATCTGTGAGTTTCTTGAATAAAGTGACATGAAACGTCAGCAAATGGAAGGCGAACAAGCTCTAAATTGCAGGAGATGAAACGCGGCATATGGGATGTAAAACCCAGGGACAGCGGAGGAAAGTTTCCAGGATTTGTTTTGTCAGCCAGCACTTAAAGGGGGCATTAAAGGCAGGGATAACATCCCTTCAGGTTTTAATCCATGACTGCTGCAATTCTGGATTTAGTATTTAGCCGTAACACATATAACTGGCATAGATTTATTACAGGTTCTCTTTTAATCTTAAGGCTTTGCTTACATTTGTGCAAATTCTCCTATGGTACTATCAGATCTCGGCTTCTGAGAATCTTAATGGAGGATTTGCCTTTTGTCTTCTTCTAAATAATCATCATAAATGCCTGGGGCTAGATGGAGTCCATTGCATCTGTACACAGGGAGATCATAGAGGGGAGTTATAATAACAGAGTCCTATTTCCTTCCCTCTCCCAAACATAATTTTTCAGTATGCCGCTCTGTGGCTGTCTCCCATCTCCTCCTTGGAAAAAGTGCAGAAAAGGGCAAGTAGAATGATAAAAGGGTTGGAAAACTTTCCCTATGAAGAAAGCTTAAAGCAGAGCTGTTTCGCTTGGAGAAATGATGACTGAAAGGGTGACATGATAGAGGGTTACAAGATTATGCATGGGGTAGAGTAGGTCGAGAAAGAAATACTTTTCTCCCTTTCTCACAATACAAGAACTTGTGGGCACTCAATGAAATCGCTCAGCAGTTGGGTTCGAATGGATAAAAGGAAGTACCTCTTCACCCAGAGAGTGATTAACACATAAAATTCACTGCCACAGGAGGTGGGGGCGGCTACAAGCATGGACGGCTTCAAGAGGGAATTGGATAAGCATATGGA